CTGCGGCCGGCGCCCGTGGGGGGGCGCGTCCTGAGGGCCGGGCGGGGCCTAGCCGGCCGGGGGCGGGGCAGGGGGCGGGCTTCGGGCACCCGGGTACTTTTCCATGGCAGGCGCCGGGCGGCCTCCTCCGCGGAAAGGCCCCCACGTGGTGGTGACTGATGTAACGCCCCCCCGACCTTGCACCCCGATTAAAGCAGACCCGTCCCGCTTCGGGGAACTGGGGTGTTCCGGGCGGCGCCCATCTTCGAAAGTGACCGCACCCCTGGGCCGGCCCGGGCCTCTGCTGCCACTTAAAAGAACGGCTCCGCTTCCAGGCCAGCTCTCCGCAGGCCACGCCCCCTACCATCACTCTTAAAGGAGCCGCGGCCGCGCTCTCTGACTGCTCCCGTACGAAGCTGGGTTTGTTTCTTAGATGACACAAACCTGAGGTTACAGCCACTTGGAGATAAAGGTTATTGGGCTAGGAGACAGACAAATCTAAAAGATGAAGATCCTCAAAGTAAGGGGCAACAGGAGGGTGGAGAGTAGTGGGTGAGGGGACTGGTTCTAAAACCTAAAAGGAAGCACTGAGCATGCCCAATGTTTGTGAGGACCGCAGAGAAAACGCCCCCTTACTCGGCCCACGCTGTGACTGCGGCGGGGCGGCTCGAGGACACAGAAGAGTCTCACCTCTGCCCTAGAAGACCTGTCCAGCTAGTGGGGGAGCCAGACTTGGACACAAGCAGACATGCCCGGACAGTACCTGTGACTAGCATGCTAATCAGTGCGTGCGGGCTTTCTGGGTACCGAAAGAGGGTTGGCTGCCCTGGGAGGATTGAGGAAGGCTTTTGAGGATAATGACTTTGGGATGGGCAGGCTGCATACAGGTGGCAATGCTGCCTGAGCAAGGCCATGGAGCAGGAACCCTCTGTGAAAGCAGAGTGGTCCTGCAGGGGTAGCTGGCCAGGGCTGTGATAGGACACCACTTTCCCTGCTTTCACTTGCTGCCTCTTCCCTCTGTTGCCCATTTGGAGACTACTTCCTGCTTTATCTTCTAGTAGGTCCGGGAGGGTAGGGAAGGGGGTGTTACCTTTCATCCCCAGTGAGGACCACGGAGTTTGACGCAGGCAGACCCTTAAAATTGGACCACCTGACAGTGCCAATTAGGGGTAAGGAAAGATCCCAGCCATGAGACTGTACATGGAGGACCCAGTGCCACCCTCCCAGATCTGCCTCACAAGCAGCTCAAAACCAGCTGGTCCAACCTCTGCCCCTCCAAACCTGCAGTATCATCAGCGTTCTTGTCCCTGGCACTGGCACCAGTGTCCTCCCATTGCACCAGCAGGAAACAGTGACCCCTTCTTAGCCCTCACCACCACCCCAAGGTCCAGTTCATCCACCAGTCCTACCAAGTGCTTTTCTAAATTTGTCTCAGACCGATGTGTACCTTTCCTTGCCCAAAGTCACCTTCCTGATCCACTCTGGCCTGCTCAATCCTAGTTGATTTCCTTTCTTCTACTCTCATCTTCCAATCCTTTCTGCTATCTGTAGGGTGATTCTTTCAGTTTCTTTCTTTCTTTCTTTCTTTCTTTCTTTCTTTCTTTCTTTCTTTCTTTGCAGAACTGGGGATTGAACTCAGGCCCTTGCGCTTGCCAGGCAAACACTTATTCTACTGAACCATCTCCACAAGTGCTTCTTTCAAAGCACACATTTCAGCAATCATCTCTGTCCAAGTTGATCGCTGCTTAAAAGCCTTCACCACCACTATTACATCAGGATAAAAACCAAATCCCAGATGCCTAGGCCCAAGCTCTGCTTGCCTCTGCTTTCATTTTCCTCCCTGGCTATCTGAGCTCCAGCCTCAGAGAGCCTTCCCACATATTGTTGCATTTTTCTCTCTTTTCTTCACTTTTGCCAAATTGTCTAAATAACTTCATCTGACCCTTAAACGTCACTTCCTCAGGAAAGCTTCCCTGACTCTCAGCCCTGCTGTAGAGTCTCATAGAAGGACCTTCTTCCTTCCCACTTTATCTCAGTCTGTGATTATTTAGCTTGAATCATCAGTTACACTCTGCCCCCCCCCCCCAGCCTATCAGCTGCAGGAGTGCTGAGACCTTTGAGTTCTTGGTGCCTAACACAGGTCTGGCCCAGAGCAGACCTGCAATAAATATTTGTGGACTAAATTAATCTAGTTGTGGCTGGCCTTAAATGCTTCCCAAGTAATTTAGGTCATATTCTGTTGGCCATGGAAAACAGTTGAGGAGAATCAGGGCTTTAGGGCTTTGGGGAGATTAATGGATTGGAGAGGAGGAAAATTTAGAGGACTTGTAGTAGAGACAAAAATTAGGCAGAAACTTCAGAATTTATGAGGGAATTATTAGTCCTATTATCTAGATTGAGAAAATTGGTACTTAAAGAAGTTAAGCAATGCTCAGAAGCACATATCTAGAATCGGAAAGCCAGAATTCCGCCCAGGCCCTCCAGGTCCAGGGACCTGAGGTCTTCGCAGGCCAAACTGACGGAACTCCTCCACCTCTGCTTGTCAGTGGCAGTTCATATATGGGTTAGAAACACCTCTAGGGCCTGGGCATTATGCACCTGTTACACCTAGAAGAGGGTATGGCATTCAACTGGTATGTGGCATTTCACTGGTTCTTGTGTGTGTGTGTGTATGTGTGTGTGTGTGTGTGTGTGGTTTTGTAGTGCTGGAGATTGAACCCAGGGCCTCATGCTTTTTTTTTTTTTTTTTGTGGAACCAGGGATTGAACTCAGGCCCTTGCGCTTGCCAGGGAAACTCTTATTCCACTGAGCCATCTCCCTGGCCCCACTCATGCATTCTAGACATGTATTGTATCACTGAGTAAAGGCCTAGCCTTCAGTGGTTTTTTGTTTTTGTTTTTGTTTTTGCAGAACCGGGGATTGAACTTGGGCCCTTGAGCTTATCAGGGAAGCACTTATTCTACTGAGCCATCTCCCTGGCTTCAGTTGGTATTTTTTGAATGGATAGATGGGACCATTTAACAGGAGGAATAGTAAAGTTCTACATGTAACTTTCCTGGTCCAGTCACCAGGCAATCTTGTCCTTGACAGTCTCTAATCTATCTGAGGACAGGGACTGTACCTGTGGCCCATGCTCAGGACTTGGCCCAGAACAGACACCAGTGACTGCCTCAGTGCAAATGAGTCACCTAGTCAGAGATGTCCAATCTAAAAAGCTCACTTTGGGGCCGGGGAGATGACTCAGTGGAATAAGCGCTTCCCTGGCAAGTGCAAGGGCCTGAGTTCGCTGAGCCAGCAGTTGAGACTAGGCATGGTAGCAGGCACCTATAATCCTAGCTCCTGGGAGGCTGTAAACAGGTGGATCACTATAAGTCTGATCTAGTAGTGAGACCCTGAACACCCTGTAGACCCTTCCCTAAAAACATTTATTTTTTTAAAAAAACTATTTATTTATTACATTTTTATTTAGTGTGTGTATGTGTGTGGCCAGCTCAGCCCACCAGGGGGCGGGGCTGGCTGGCATGTGGTGCTGGGGGATCGAACCGCGGTCCCTGTGCTTTGCCAAGCTTGTTCTAAGTAGGTGCTTTAGACCACTGAGCCATCTCTCCAGCCCCCCTAAAAACATTTAAAAAAATAAAATAAAAAGCTCACCTAGGCCTTGGCAGGCCTGGCATGTGGCCTCTCTGGGCTGATCTCTCCAACTGTAACCTATAGGAGAATCTTGGATAACATGGGATGAGAATTCTCTGCAGCCGAAGTCCAAGGACAGAGAGCCCTCAGTGGGCACAAGGGCACAATTTTTGGCGATGAAGTGGCTTTAATAAAGCCATCTGCATTATTACTATGACTATCATTATTGCCATTATTTCGCCTTGGCTGAAGAGAGGCAGCTTTAGGGCAATCAGAGCTGGAGTTTATAGCTGGGAGGGGATGGTGTGAGCACAGAGGGCAATGGTATGATCCCTCTTTCTTTTTCTGTCTTTTTGAGACAGGGTCTCCCTAGTGGTGCAGGTTGGCCTTGCACTCACTATGTAGCCCAGGCTAGCCTCAAACTCACAGTTGTCCTGCCACAGCCTCCCAAGTGCTGGGAATACAGGCATGTGCCCCCAAGCCTGGCTGTGATTCCCTTCTGAAAGACATAGCCCCCTCTTCTAACTGCCACCAGAAGACCAAAGCCAGAGCAGGACCTCTTTAGGACCCTGAGCAGAGGCCAGGCTGCGTAGCTGACAAAAAGGAAAGGCTTAAGGCCACTTTCCCTCCCTCCCCTGCTGGAGACCAAGTGGCTAGTGCAAAGGCCCAAGGAAGTCAAGAGTTTATTTGCATAGGCAAAGAGTCCTTATCTCTGCTCCAGCCTCCCAAAGACTTCCTATAGGTGAGAGGTAGCCCTTAGGGCATGGGGTGGCTGTGGGTGGGGCAGGCCAGGCTAGGTAGCTGTGGTAAGGCAGAGTGATCTGCAATTGCCTTTCCAGTGGAACATGCCCCTAGGTTGGAAGCAGAAGCCTCAGAGACAGAGCCACCTCCTCCCTAGGATCAGGCCCTATGTAGGTTCAACTTCCTCATCCATCTGCCCCAAGATTTTTCTCCAAGGAGTCTCTTAAGTCTCTCTGAAGGTAGAGACCCCTCCTGAGGCCTGTCAGAGACTAACCCCCTTTCATCACATCTGACATGAAACCTAACCTACAATGTCTACCCCCTCTCCAGCTCACCTGCCCCACATGGCTCTGAGATTTGTCCTACAAGATCCCACCCAAACTGGACCAAAGCTCCTGCCATTCCTCCTCATTTCACTTCAGCCAGCTCTTCTTGCTGGGCAATACTTGGCTAGGTGCTAGGTACTGAAGGGTAGAGGAAGCCCAGCTGTAAGCCTTCAGGGAGCTCCTGATGATTGCTTGCCTTAAGAGCAAGCAAGTGTAATGTGAGGTGATAGGGCACTGGTGAAGTCTGCTGTGAACCAGCAGTTCCTTGTGGGGAGAGGAAGGGGAGGGCTATCTGCAGAGAGCAGGTGACATTTAAGCTCAGTCCTAAAGGACTTGCTGAATTTCACCTTGTGCATCTGAGGAAAAATGTTGGAAAAGCAGGGGCAGCCACAATGGAAGCAAGGAGGCTTGATTGCCACTGGTGTGTCCAGCTGCTTGGGGCAAGTGAGGGACACAGCAACAACCCCTGAGTCCAGGCAGAGTAGTACCGGGTGGCTTGGGCTGAGGTTGGGAAGTCAGCTGGTCTGAGCCCATTTTCCCTGGGGAAAGGTTGCAGCCATTTACACAGACAAGGAAGGACTTGGACCCCATCCCAGTTCTGTGTTCATTTTTTATCTTCTATAGGATTGGGCATCTGTAGAATCAAAAATAGACCCTTGCCCACTGGGACAGGAAGTCTGGAGAATACGAGTTGCAGGGGAAGTGCTGAGAAAGAACTAGTAAGGGGTCACATCTGAGGGTCAGCCAGAGGGAGAGGCCAGGTGGGGCTGGTGGGCCAAGAAGGACCTGGGGGGCCTGCCGTTCATGGTGCAGGGCTGCCCAGGGCATGGCCACGTCTCACTGTCTGTTCTTTCCATAGCTCCTGAGGTTTGTGCTCTGAACGGTGCTGGAAGCAAAGCCCGTGTGTTCTGGGACTCCAGGGTGCCCAGCCGACTGCCACCATGGTAGGAAAAGGTGCCAAAGGGATGTTGGTGAGTACAGGGGCCAGACTGCAGGGAGGAAGGAGTGTCACACACACTGCACCCTCAGACCTTCTACTAGCAGCTTACTGTGACCAGAGGGCCTAGGAGGCTCTCTGGGGACAGGTATCAGCACTTCAGGGCTATCTTGTGCCAGGGCTACACCAAGCTCAGGCAGGCAGCCCCTCATCCAGCTGCTTAGTGCCAAGTATGAGCCCACAGCAGGGAAGGGTCCCCCACAGACCTGGAGAGAACCTGCCAGTGGACAGGAAGTCACAAGAGGTCCCCTGCAGAGGACACAGCTTGTCCTGCTGGGAGGGCATTAGGACCCACAGGGTTGTGCCTTCACAACATCTTGGTCCCTGTGGCCATGCTGCAGGGCACATTCATTAAGTGTTAGTCAAAGAGTTTTCAGACCTTGTCTTGTTTTTCTCTACTTCTGCGGTTCCTTCTTGCTCTAAAGAGCAATACCTTTTGTTTCAATCTTCTGAGGCCTCCAAGAAAATCTCTGTCCTCCCCTTCCCCAGCCTGACCACTTATCTCTGCTTCAGAGCACAGCAAAGGTAGTGGTGCCTTTCAAAACCAATGTCTGGGTGAGGCTTTTGAGAGAGCAAAACTCATTAATGGATGAAGCAGGTTGATTGCATGGGGACCAAGAGATCCTACCTTAAGGGCGGTGGCTATCTTTTCACTTGGGATCTTGCTTTGGGGACAATCCAGCCTGGGGAGCTGCCAAGGGAGGAAGCAGGGGCTGAGCACAACCCCTCCCTCTGCAGCTCTCCTTCATCAATACCTTCTATTTTTCCTCCTTCAATTAGGGGCTGATTGGCTTGGGCCTCTGGTAAGCCCTCCCTAAGCTCACCCGGTCTCCCACCAAAGATTTCTGGGATTCCACAAACCTGAGCCAGAGGAATGGTTTAGGGGAAAGGCACTGGGTGCTTCTCTTGTGGGTTTAGGACTTCCATGTAGCTGTGTTCTGAGCCTCTGGCCCAGTCCATCAGGCCTGCTGGGGAGTGGCGCCTCCTAGTGGGAACAGGTCTGGACAAACCAACTTGCTGAAAGTGTTCCTGGGCCACACTGAAGTCTGGGAGCACAGAAGCAGGTACAGATGGAGATCTCAAGGCCTGAACGCTGGCTGCAGCTACCCTGTGTTAGCACTCAACCACGAGCCCGACTTTCCCTGAAAAGTCTTAAAATTACCATGAGTCTGAGAAGGAAGTGGGTGTGGCTTTGCCCTACCTACCATGGAGATTCTGGGCCCTGTGAAACCAGCAGCCCCTTTGAGCACCTCATGGCTGCTGTTCTGTGGTGCAACCCTGGAAGAATGGGGGCAGGGAGATGGGGGAGATGGAAACCCATGTGCACACATCCCCACTGCAGGGGAGTGTCCTGGCCCGCCTGCCTGGCCTGTCTGGGGAAGGCAGCACTGCCTTGGGACTCCCATTCCCAGCATCAGAGAGTGCCTAAAGATAGCTGGGGCTCGCTTTCCTCTGTGCTCTCTGCCCTTTGGCTTCTGCCCACTGCTGCATTTGAGGCTTGGAGCATCTGTCCCATGGGCACCCCCAGTGGTTGCTCGAAGATTCTATTCTTGCCTCTTTTCAGTTCTGCTGATGACCTTGGGCTACTCTATTCTTGGGTCCAAGTGTGGAGCTGAAGCTGCCTCCATTCAGAGCTTGTCTCTAGGATACAGCCTCTGAGGGGCAGCAGGCAAGAAACCCCTGCCAAGCCCCATCTCTGCTCACTAACGCAGAAGCTAAGTCAGCACTTCAGGATTTTTGTGTCTTTCTAAGGGCAGGGGGCCGAGGAAGTTCCTTTCTGATATGCTCCTTCTCATATGGATACCATGGTAGGTCAGAAGAGCGGATGAAGAGGGGCATGCATGCTGACCTGGCCCCTCCTGGTTTTCTATGGCTTCTATGGTCCTGTTTTTACCTGATATGTAGGGGGTGGGAGCTGCCCTCTACCCTTGCTTCTGTAGCCCTTTGCCCCAGGTTTGGGTGTGAGGGCATATGCCACTCAGGTCTCTTCAATGTCAACAGATGTTCCAGGTTGTCCTTGGTGCTTCCGCTGGGCTGTATAATAGGTGCCTGCCGAGGAGCAAGCCACTTGCAGCACGTGCCCAGGCCCACATGCTTGCTGCACGTGTCACTCCCCCACTGTCAGCCCAGATGGTTGCTGCCAGGCCAGCTCAGCTGCCTCCCTCACGCCTCAGCAGCTCCTAGGACAGTGCTATGCAAGAACCCAGCTGGCCAGGGTACCTCCAAGCCTGGGAGCAGCTGGGATGCTTGGGGGCACCCGGGGTGGGTGGGGTGGTCCGTCCATGGAGGCCTAGGGCCTCTGAACACGTGTGGTATGGTGCTGTCTTGGTCTCAAAGGACAGGAGCTGGAGGAAATCAGCCAGAGCAGGAGTTTAGAGCTCCTTCCAGGTCAGCTTCAACCCGTCACCTGATGCCAAGTTGCCAGCCTGGGCTCCACAGTCCTTCCTCATAGTGAGCTTCTTCAGTTTCCTGTCTTGCCTCTGGATATATTGGCTGCCTCTGCCTCATGATGAATAAGAGCAGAACTGCTGCAGCACCAAGGCCCTGGGGTGTACTAGCACCTAAATCCCAGAAGCATCTGCAGGCACCTGGGCTTGTCCTGCCCTGTCTTGCTCTACCCTGTTCTTTTAAGCTTTGACTTGAGGGTTTGGATACCTTTGGTCTCAGGACCTGGCACACAGTGGGTGCTCACTTAGGTCAGTCTTGGCGTGTAGCAAGTACCCAACCAGTACTGGCTTGGCACACGTTGGTATAAGTACTGTGTGCTAAGCAATTGTGCCACTGGAGCTCAGCTTGGCACACATTTGGATGCCACCAAGCACAAGGCTTGGCACAAGTTGGGCACTCCCTTGGTAAAGGACCTGTTGGCTCTGGGCACTCAGTACAAGTTTCAGCAGGTGGCAAATACTCAGCTGGTACAGACTTGGCATGTATTTGGCACTCCTTTAGTATAGAGCCTGCCACCCAGTGGGCATTGGTCCAGTGTAGGACCAGCTTAGGATGTCTTGGGTCCTTCCTTGGTACAGAATTTGGAATACACAGGGCACTGACCTGGTGTGGAACCTGATACACCACAAAGGTGTATCTTTTTTTTTTTTTTTCCAGTACTGGGGATTGAACTCAGGACCTTGTGCTTGCCAGGCAGGTACTTATGCCATTGAGCTATCTCCCAGCCCTCACAAGGGTACATTTGGCATGGGGCTGATGTGCAGTGAGAGTTCTCTTAACATTGGACTTGGCACACAGTGTGCACTCTCTGATCACAGACCTAGCACACAGTGGGTGCTTTTCTAACATCCACCTGGCACATAGTGTATGTTCTTCCAGCATCGAACTAGGCACATAGCGAGCATGCTGCTCATATACGCCCCAGCACAAGGTTTGACACAGTAGGTTCTCTCTTTGTGCAGGGACTGGCATATAGTGGACACATTCTGCTTATTTAAGACCAATGCAAGGATGTGTTCTCCTGGCCAGAACAGCCTAGACAGGAGTCTTGTGGGGTCCTAGATGTGCAGATGCATCTCACCCATGAAGTAGAACATTGAGGGCCAGAGGAAGAGGTCCACTTCCCTCAGGTGTCTTCTCTGACCCTAGGATCCTACCTTCCCCCTGGGCCACCTGCTCTGCCTTGCAGCTCCCATCCCATCCCCAACTTCCCCAGCCCTCCCCTGTCCCCAGCACTCCTCAGTTCTAGCTCAGAAAAATCTTCCCTTCTGAGCCACAGGGAACAAGGCCCCTAGACTTCTGGCCCTTCTGGAAGTTTGCCCACTCTTATTAAGAAAAGTCAGTGGCTGGAACTGGGGGGTCCACCTCTAAGTGGGGCTGGAGCAGCTGGATCCCACTAATGAGGCCTCATTACAGCCAGGGCCCAGCTGGGCTGCTGCTGCCTCCTGTCCCCATGGCCAGAGCCAGGGAAACCCATCCAGCCAGGGCTGCCTGTTCTGGGCACTCAGCCCAGGCCAGGGAAGCCAGAGCCCAGAGCCCACCGTGGGTGGATGTGAGCATTTGGCATCATGGGTGACCCGGCCTTCTTGGAGTAGTCTGTGCCACAGGAAGTCGGGAAGTATGTCTGGGGACCCGAATGCATGAGGCTGGCCTGGTGAGCAGCTGAATCAGTGGGGTATGAGCCATGCTTAGGAAGCCTGCTGGAGCCATGGCCCACCCCCTTCTGCTCCCCAAAGGGAGAAGATGGAGTGCCCACCTCGGAGGCCATTGGAAGGATTCAGAGAGGTCATGAATGTGAAGTTCTTAGGACAGTGCCTGGCTTACAGGAAGCACTTAGTATCCATTGTGTATTATTATTACTAACTCTCACAACATTCAAAGACTGGTGGATGTGATTCCCATTTTAGAGGTACAGAAATGGAGACCAGAGTGTTAAGCAGAGTGCCTAAGATTATATACTGTGAAAGACTGGCAGAGCTGGGGTTTGAACATAAACTTGTCTGATCTTAAAGCCGGTGACATTTTTTTTTTCCTATGGCATTTTTTAAAATGTCATCTTCCCTCAGACAATGTTCCCCACAGGGCCATATTTACCAAACTCACAGGAAAGCTATCCTTATACCACAACGTATGAGTGCCTCTGCTTGCCAGATAGTTGCTGAGATGGTGTTCTGTACCGCAACTTCTACCATGTTCTTCACTTCCACAGGACCGCTTCTTTCTGGCACCAAAGTTGATGCCCACCTTCCTAGACTCTGACTTGCGGTGTCTGGGTGCCAGCTAAGGTCTCCCCAGGCAACGTGGCCTCCAAGAAGATGTGGATGGGCTAGAGTGACAGACCATCACTCATGGGACATTGCCAGGGTCAGCCAGCACATACAGCACTCTCCACGTGTGCTCAAATTTCTCTGTGTATATCCCTCGTGGTCCTTATTCTGTGCCTCCACCTTCATCTGGACTCTGGTGTATCTCAGTTAATGCCGTCTCCCTTCAGACAGGAAGCAGTGTAGTGCTCTGGGTCAGAGC